TATATACATATTTGTGTGTGTATATATGCATATTGTATATATATATATATATATTTATATATATATATGTGTGTGTGTACAAGTATATATATTTATATTGATATATATATATATATATATGACTGAGTTCATTTCCCCGACTACAATACTCTCTCACACACAAAGTCAACCCCCATCATCACTGACATATTAGATCGGCTCACACTATCAATGACGTTATATACTGGTGCACACTCCAGCTACGTTGTGTTCGTTGTCAACCAGACACACACACCTGCGGACATACACATGTGATTCAATACCAATCTACCGCTATTTCAACCGCATACAAAGCAAGAGCCCTACTATTGTCGTCTTGTATTGAACTTCAAGTGCAATGAAGGGCATATGATATTGAGATAACACGTCTATTGGTGTACATATAGCACCCAACATTTCGTATGTATGAATACAAACAAGGCTCAATTAAGCACACACACGCGGTTATTTCACTTAATACATTCTACATTACTTGTACCTATAGCGACAGTTATATATGTATATATGTATATGTATATATATATATATAGATATATCTATTTATATATATATATATATAGATATATATACGCACATATATACATATGTATATGTATGTATGTACACATGTTTATATATATATATATATCTAAATATAGTTATAGTTATAGTTATAGTTATAGATACATATATATATATATATGTATTTATAAGTGTGTGTATCATTCATTATATTTATATCGTATTTATATATATTATAGCCGGTTAACTCTATCTGAATACACAGACAAGGATGAGGACGATGAAGACGAGGAAGCGGAAGAGAAGGCCAAAATATACGGCGAATGGCCCAGTACTGATAAAACAAGAGCATCCACGCACGACACAGATAATTCTGCACCGACCAATAGGAATGCAGATAATTCAAGCACAGCCAATACGAATATAGATAATTCGGAGGCAGTCGATACTCGCGGGAATGGAGTGAATTCAGAGCAAACCGACGAAGATTCAGAACAAAGACACGATGATGCTAAAGAGATTGCCTTCAAATCAAAGCAGGTATGTTCACATTGTCCCAAATTGTTATATTTTGGTATTGGGAATCGGGTTTCAGAGATGTGTGGATTTGGAAAACCTCACGCGTGTAGGTATAAGCTGTTGATTTAGTCTATGGCAGTTTTTTTGCGTCTTTGTTAGCTCTACATTTAGCATATGTTGAGGGGATATAGTGAGGCCGAGCACACGACATACAAAGGTACATTTGTATGTATTAAATTACAATAGTACATTATGTATTAAAATACAATAGTACATTGTATGTATTAAAATACAATAGTGCATTGTATGTATTAAAATACAATGTGTCATTGTATGTATTAAAATACAATAGTACATTGTATGTATATAGCACATTGTATGTTTTAAAATACAATAGTACATTGTATGTATATAGTACTTTGTATGTATTAAAATACAAAGGTGCATTGTATGTATTAAAATACAATAGTACATTGTATGTTTTAAAATACAAAAGTACATTGTATGTATATAGTACATTGTATGTATTAAAATACAATAGTACATTGTATGTATCAAAATACAATATTATTACATACAGTGGTGCATCGTGTGTGGTGGCTCTGCCTGTACTAGTGCGTGCATTACACCTTACTTCAGCATGCGTAGTCCGACGCTCTCTTTCGGGCCTTCAGCATTCACCATCTGTATTGAACTTGTGTGGAGATGGTATGTGTGTATACATACATGTGCGTAGGTGACAGATGACACGTGCATGTGCGTGAATATATTGTGGAGATCATCTGTATGTACACTGTGGGGATCATCTGTATGTACACATGCATGCGTGTAGATGACAGGCCACACGCGCATGTACATATATATGTATATATGCATGTACATATATATGTGTATATGATGCACACGTGTGTGCTTGATCAGAATTCTGATAAAGTGTTCCACATCTGCAGCGTTGTGTGGGCCTATTCGCAGATGTGCACAGTCCAATGTACGGCTGTGTATTTGTTTACAGCCATAAGTCACTACACCACACCCCTTTATATGTGCACAGTTAATATATACCTTCATATGTTTTACGTGGACACAATCAAATGCCGGAAATAAGCGAATGTATGAGGCTGCATGGTTGTATTCGCCTATATAAGGACCATATCAATATGTACCGCCATATGTGTGAAATTGTTTATATATATATATATATATAATATATATATATATATATATATATATATATATATATATATATATATATATATATATATATATATATATATATATATAT